ACATTAGCATTAAAAGATTATTATTGTACACATCATGGTATAGTCTCACTTAGTTGTCCAGCTCCATCACTATCAGGATTAACAGTGGTACTGTCTTGATGAGGCTGTGCTGATGAAGCACCAGTAGCTTTATGAGTCACTATAATAACAAAATTAAGTAATGTAGTTTCAATCATTGCATCATGTGGAGTGAAAAATTAAAATTCTGGCAACTGTTAGCAATACAAATAAAATTTGTTTTTGGTAAATGCATGTGCATTTTGTGAGCTTACTGATAGTCAAGAACTTTTCAACATCATTAGTATTTTGCGGTTCCACCATGAAATGTTTTATAGCCACTCCAGCCAAAATAGCAAAAAAAATTATGAACATGTAACAACCAAAATTCCTGCTCAAATAATAATAATAATAATATGGAGCAAGCTAGTTATAATGGAGTCTTACTTGAGGTGTTTAGCAAAACTTCTCATGTGGCAACTGTGGTCTGTTGAGTTGCTATTATCATTGCTATGGAGCTCAATGGGCTGATCTTGTTTATTAGATTTTTCTATACATGAGTTTTTGACTTCAGCAGTAGGCACTGTAACTACAGTTGTAGTAAAAAAAACACAATATTATTAGTTACAAAACAAATCACAATTCTATTAAAGTATATACTAATTCTTTTTATTATGTGTATTTACTAACTTGGACTGGGCAATTGATCACTAAACCAACATCTATAGCTATCATCTATATCTAGTACGTCACATTGTGGGTGACAATTATGACACCTGGTGCCTGTAGAAGATTTGTCTTTAGAGTTGTCTTTTTCCTGGACAATGCAGTTTTCATTTTTGGGGCATTTGAAAGCAAAAATATTATCTTTCTCAACTTTGAGAATCTTGCTGCTTCTTTTGATAACTTTTCTCACTAAATCACGAACTTTTATGACTACTTTGCGAATTTCAAGACAAGATTTTTTATAGCCACGAAAATGTATTTCTATATGTGTAAGGCGATTGATGATATCTATGTAGTATTTTTCATAAACACAGAGTGACATGGCATCATGGTATCTGTAGAATTTATTGTCCAAACTTGGATCTGGACTGAAATCTACGTATGCTTCATCTTTTTTTTTCTCTAAAAGGTGTACAATAATCAAAGGAAATAATCCTTGAGGAATGGCTAGTGTTTTTGTTCCACTATCATCGATCTCCCATGCTATGAGAAGTGGTTGTATTTCTGTTGGGGCAGGATTGAGCTTATCGTAAGATGGTAATGCACACGGAAAGAAATAATCTCCTTCTTTTCTGTTTTTAACTTCAACTATGATGTGGAGGTATTTCAGAAGAGTGATCATGTGAGAAGGTTGAAAATCATCATTGAAAATTTGTTTACCAATAACTTTTAAAAGACCTTCTTTAAAAAGGCCTAATTTTGTGAGATAATATGTTTCATTCCACGAAGGTTGTGAACTTAATAGTTTAGTGCTGTCACTTCTGTGGACATATGTGATAGCTATTAAATGTGAGAGGACATCAAGAATTGGTTCAGGATCGACAAATATTATATTTGGTAGAATTTCATGGAAATGAAGGATGATAGTGACATTGTGCAAATATTGTAGAGCTCCTTCAATTTCTGATTCATTAAGGCCAAGAAACTCACCAATCTTAGTTGCTTCTTTTTTTGTGAGGAAACTTCGTTTCTTAGCTTTCATCTGTAGTCCAATCTCAAAAGTAAAAAATCAAATTGGTAACATAATCGTCATGGCAACTCCACAATTTGAAATTGCGTTACAAAGCTCTACACTAGCTTCTTCTCTTTCTATAGACCCAGCAGGGAGCAACGTATTAACTGGAAATATAATCGAACCTCTACGTATATTATGAGGAATGACTTTTTTATTAGCTCTATATTCTTTCAGACTTTCATTCATTTTTTTTAGCTTATCCTCAGTCACTAACTTATCATCTTTACGTGTACCAAGTATAAGATAATGAGGGCAAATATCTTTATGCTTGTCAGACTTAAAGACATCAGGAATTTCAATGGGATTCAACATAGCTTCGGAGCTAATTGTTGATTGAATTAAATCACGATTAGAATACTTCAGTTCTGTATCAATAGGAGACATACGTTGATCAATACGATATTGAAACTTGCACTTCTCATCAAGACCTTTAGTAAGATCAATGGTGATGATATTAAGTGCAGCTGCTCTTGTAAAAAGAGGTAGCAACTCTCGATATGCTGGTTGACCACCAGAATCAATAAAATAAACCCAATTTCTACTTAATTTTTTAGATTCATTAGCTTTAAAATATTTTATCAATTTTTCCATGAATTTGAACTCAGCTTGTTCATTCTCAGAAGATCCATTTTTAGCTAGTCCATTCTCATTCTCGGAGAGTCCATTCTCAGCTGGTTCATTCTTGGTGAGTTCATTTTTGGCAGATCCATTCTCGGCGAGTCCATTTTCTGTTGGCCCATTCTCAGTGGGTCCATTCTCGGTGGGTCCATTCTCGGTGGGTCCATTCTCGGTTGGTCCATTCTTGGTGGGTCCATTCTCGGTTGGTCCATTCTTGGTGGGTGCATTCTCAGTTGGTCCATTCTTGGTGGGTGCATTCTCGGTTGGTCCATTCTTGGTGGGTCCATTCTCGGTTGGTCCATTTTCATCAAATCCATTCTCGGTGGGTCTATTCTTGGTAGGTCCATTCTCATTCTCGGCAGATCCATTTTCAGCTAGTCCATTCTCATTCTCAGCAAGTCCATTCTCGGCTGGTTCATTCTCGGCGGATCCATTCTTGGTGGGTCCATTCTCAGTTGGTTTACTCTTGGTTGGTTCATTTGTGAATGGTACTCCTAGTGATGGTTCATCTGAATTAGTAGGTACATTATCTTCAGGTGATGCTAACTGCTTAAGTAAATCTTCTTCATCAACCCTCTTCCACTTATTTTCTTTATCAATGGATATTCTTGTTGCTTTAACAGTGCGACAAGCTATTGGCGTACTATCGGTAAGAGCAGACCTGTGGTACTTTAAAAAGTACTCCAGTATTCTCCTAAGTACTTGGCACCATGTCCAGTTGGGAGGTGGTTCATTAAGTAGGAGACGTTTTGAACATGT